GACAAAAGAACTTGTGAAGGTAATCTTGTTATGGAAACCGAACACTGATATGATGAACTGAGAAAAGACTGAAGAAACAGGAAAATGTATGGCAACAGTGAATGGGAATTCTAAAAGTATGCTTCTTTTAAAAATTTTGTGATATTACCATTGAATTTTATGTGAAAAAAAAAAAAAAAAAAAAAAAAAAAGAGTAATGCTTTAAAATAGAATTAGGAAGCTGGAGGACATACACATTAGGACCTAATTTGTACCTATTCTATGTTGCTTTCCAAAATCACATTTAGACAATAATTAGTTCCTTGGCTGTTACGCAGATGACGTAGCTCTAGCTGTAAGGTCAAAGAGAAAAAATTATGCGGTCAAAAAATTAGAACTGATCCCTCGTGTCGAAGAGTGGTACACAAATTGGCAAACTGCCATAAATGCTCAAAAATCTCAACTTTTAATCAATGAAAACTTACAAATCCTCCAATTAACAGGAAACTTTACCTATTTAATGAGAAAGTTCCCATTGTATTCAACGTAACTTACCTAGAGGTTGCTCTAAATGAAAAGGTGATATGACCACACAGTGCGAGTGCACCAATTGCATTGGCTGTAGCGATGGATCTACTTTCACAAATGAATGGACAAACTTTCTTCCTGACCCTATTAAAGGTGTTTGGAGAAATTTCATTCCAAGATTTTACAGCAAGAATAAATAACCATGTAGCTTCGAGCTCACATCAATTGGGGTAGAATAAATCAGGGTATTACTGTACACTTGATATTAAAAAGGTTATGAAAAATATAGCATGGTATTAACATGAAATTAGTACTGCGAAGTGTAGTTAAAAATTTATGCAAAATCCTACCAAATTTCCTAGAATTTATTTCTATTCTGTGCTAGCTCCACTAAAATATTTGATATGTTATAAAACCAATTTTAGAATAGCTCTGTGGTTCTACAGATTTTTCTGTAAGAAGACAGCACATGACAAATATTTTTCTATAAAAAGATATATGCACTAGCACAGCCATTACATTAATTGTTTTTCTTATAACAGAGTTCTAGTTTTCAATGTACATAATGTCAGCTAAAAGATTTTAATGCATGCCATTATATTTTATTCTTTGTTTATTGAAATAACTCATCTTACCAGAAACATTATATTTAAATTACTGTTTTTTTTTAATTAGCTGATGATGACGAATCTGTTTTCTTACTGCAAATAACTAATTGAAAATGTATTTTTCTACAAAAAATTGTTTATTATATGTTGTCCTGAACCAGAAAAGATCCCATTTTGAATCACGGGTACACAATGCATAAAAGTTACGAAATAAAAACATTATTCAGTAGTGGATGGTTCTAAGCTTTTTTATTTTATCATATTCTTGCTCATTCTTATTTGGCGTGGTTCTTAAAACTACAGTGGAACCTCGAAATACGAGCACCTCTATATACGAGAAATTAGAGGTACAAAGTAAGTACAGTCAAAAGTCTTTAATCTGGACTCGTCAGGACTTCGGTGATTCCGGATTATAGATCATCAGTTTAAATCTGGTAAGATGGCATGCAGAAATTATAAAATTAAAAATATGAAACTGTAATTTATGAAATAAAGAACAATTATGATCTAAAGGGTATCAAAATTAAAAAAAAGCTTAATATTTATTTGTTTACTTTATTAAACATTTCTTTCAAAGTGCAAATGCGTAAAGCATTCATTACGCATAGTCGAAATCAGGAAATTGCAACCAGAAAACTATTTGATGTGTATTCATGATATTTATAATGAATTTGATTTAAATCATATCAAAGACAGAGTACATCGAGATGAAATACTACATTTAGTAATGAATTATAAGCCAAATAAAATAAAAACATCTGCCCTGACAGATCAACTTCCAGTCCATTGTGTGCCAGGAACGTCTTGGCAGAGCAGTGTGAAATTGATAAACAGATTTCGGAATGGTTAGAGAAACAAAGGATATGCCTTTATCTATTTTTTGCAGCAATTCCATTTTTTATTTGATGGACATTGAAACATGCTTCGGCTTTGTAGATCCTTTGGCAGCTCCAGCATCGGAAATTCTATTTGACATAATCGAAAGTTCAAGCTTAGTTTTATAAAATTGCTCTAACAGTCTGCAAAAAATAATAAGCCGAATCCAATTCGAAGATTAAGGAACAACGTAATCTGCAACATTAACTGAAATAGATAATTAGATAATTTTAGCTTAGCTTATACCGTCCGTTGTACATTAAACGTGCATGCGTAAACATATTATGAGCATGTGTACACACATATGCACATGCATAAAGGTATTATGCGCATGTGTGGACGCATTATGCATTGATGAAGGTGCAGAAAGTTTGTAGCTTTGAGGTCCGGATTAACGACTTTTGACTGTATGAGCGAAAAATTCGTCTCTAAATATGAGCTTTGGTTTGAGTTACGAGCAAAGATCCAGGCTGTGGGTATGAGCGTTGTGTTTTCTGATCTGGTTTGACACTGGGAATATTTTTGTCAGATCTCTCAGTGTTCTTTGATCTATGTGTTTCTGCGTTTGCGAGTTAATTGGTTTTTACATTTAATGTGAAAATAATTATTTCGCGATGCCTCCCAAGAAGACTGTTGCCTCAGGTAGTGCTGAAAGAAGAAGAAGGAAGTCATGGCCGTTGAAATTAAGAAAGAAAACATAGATAAACATAGTGTGGTGTAAGAGTGATCGAGTTGGCAGACTTACGGCTGTTCGGCATCAAAGATCTGCACTATTCTGAACAAGAAGGAGGAAATTAAGAAACTTCATGTGGCCAAAAGAGTTACCATTACTTCCAAGCACTGTCCAAAACTGCTATAAGATGTTAAAAAGCCGTTCTTGCTGTGGATAAGTGAGAAGCAGTTAAAAGACGATTCAGAGTCGGAAGCTATAATTTGCGCTAAGGCCAAGAATCTCTACTTGGACCTTCTCCGAAAAACACCAGGTACATCAACTGAAGATGAGATGGCAATGAGATTTTTGGCAGTGCAGAATGGATTAACAGGATTTCCAGTTTTTTTCAATGGGGAAGTTTGTTTCTAGATATGAGAAATTCACTATACGAGCTCAGTGCTGGAACCAAATAAAGTCGTATCTCGAGGTTTCACTGTACTTTTTTTTTTTTTAAGCATGTGAGGAGATTTTAGCCAGAATGCAACTGAAACTGCACAAGTTTTATGCAAATACATTTAATATAATTTTCAATTTTCCAATGGCATAATCACTGATCTCCATAATAGTGATGCATTTTAGGGCAAAATTACAGTAAAAACACAAGCCTAACTTTTTCTATATGATGAAATTTACTTTAACTTGAGAAACATAATGGAAAAATTTTTAATTTTATAATTGAATAACCTGCTTTTTGTAAAAATTTCAATGGTTTACAAAAGCCCAAAGCAAAATAAATATGCCATAATATGAAATAAAACTGCAACTCGACATATTTGTTTTTCCCACATCAGTCATAAAATGCATGTCATGTACTGGATCAAAATAGCCAAATAGGATGCCTAAAGATGATACAAGCAAGATCCAGTTCAGTGTCTTGTTGGAAATAATTCATTAACTATATTTTCCAATATTTATGTGTACTACATAAATACTTAATAGTATAATGGTTTTCATTGCATATGGTAAATATCTGAATGCATTTTTGGTCATTACCGGGCACTGTTGTGCAAAGCATTTAATTTTAGGTATCTTGTACAACATCATTACAATTCTCCTGAAAAGTTAAAACATAATCTTCTTAAATAACATTAAGAATAAACGATAAGGGGAGGGAAAACCCTCCGATTTTAGTGGTCAAGCACATGTTTATTCTATACCCAAATACCTAAATAAACCTTACAGGATTAGAAGCATTTTTATTAATTTTACTAATGATGCATATGTTTATGAAAATTATAAAATACATATATTTAAATTAAAATAAATTTTATTACACAAATTAGAGATATTTTTAAAAACAATGATATATTATTATTATTGAGAAGTTTGTATATTGAGAAAAATTATTTAGATACTGTTATGTATATTGTATGTTTATTTATATAACGTACATATATTGTTTTGAAATCACAAAGTTAAGTATTATATAGTTTTAATTCAAGAGATATATTAAACAATTTGTACCACTTTGAATGGAAGTACCAGTGACAGCTGGCAGTTTGCCAAGTTGCATGGTTAATAATTAAAGATCTTATGCATTGTGGAATGGCAATATTTACCATGTTATGTTGATGGTAAATGCTTTATGAACTACAAAAAGTGACAGGAGAAAAGCTGACAGATGTTTGACTTTAGTTCATAAAAATGCATATTAACATAAAATAAATTTAATAATTAAAAAATTAATACCATATGCAAAAGTAAAAAGTTTACTCAAAAATATATCATGAAACATTTAATAATGTTTGATTAAAATATACCAGTAACAATTAAATGGAGCAAAAACTAACAATTTCTATAAAATAATGAAGTTACCATTTCAGCACCATGCGATAAATTTTAAAAAATTAAATTCAGATCTGTACATTAGCACTTTAAATGCTTCGTTAAAAAATTAAATCATTATCAGCATTGCAAGCTATACGTTGTTACACCTGATTAATATATACCAATTATTATAATTTAAATACAATATTTAGAGAAGAGAAAAAAATTCTTTGTAAACAACTCAGACCACACTTTACGCGAAAATCATGTACCAGCTTATAACCGTAAATTAATTTATAAATACTTCAGAATTCGCTTATACTTTAATGGAATCATATTCTTTTTAAAATATGAAAATAAAACACAAAAGCGCAAGAAAACAAATGTAGTTCCAATAACATATTTTTAATATTTAATTTGTGTAAAATACAAACATTTTATAAAATGTTTTTAGAAGCTTCTAAACAAAACTTTCATCAAGCATCATAATGAAAGCTAGTTTTCTTAAGAATGACTGCTTTTATACCAACCTGATATGCAGCAGATGTGTCTGTCATTCATGATGTTTCATATTACTGAGCATGTTATTGCTTTGAGAAGAATGACTAATACGGATCTTTCAAATAACAGAAGAAAGTCGGTGTTAAAAAATTTTGAATTCTCTGGATAGAAGACCCTTTCCTATATGATCACGCTTTCAAGTACACATTGCAAACATTTTTACGCTGAGGATTACTCGTACTCGTACTCATGGTCGTAATAATTCTCTGGTGACGTCGTGTATGCTAGGGTTGCTTTGAGGCATTTCATTCAGCGCCAAAGTCGCCAAAATTCGAAAATCTGAGGAAAATTACGAATGCTGTATGAAGTCTTCGAAGATGCACATTGAAAAAGGGCATCTGATTTAACTTATAAAACATGAGATATATTTCCCAAGTGTCTGTAAATAAACAATTTAGAATTTATTAAAATATTTCACATCATTCTCTGTAACTAACCTAAATTTCTTCTTTTTTATTTGATTTCGGCTTTTGCGGTTAGTTCTCAAGATTACCAAGTACAAATATTTTCAAATACTACAGTGTCTCAAAAAAGTGATGGGACTCTTGTGCTTTACAAAAGGAAACTGTAATAAAATAAATTTAAAAAACATGTAAAATTTTTTGTGGGTGTGTTTCATACTTAAATTTAGTAACAATTATTACATAACATACATTTTCTCAAAATATTAAAATATTAATTTAATAAAAATACAATTGTTTAGAACGGAGCAGAAAAATGGCTCACTTAAGTGATGGGACACCATAGATACTTCTATGTACTATGCAACAAAAATCGTCTGAAGTAAGCAATAAAAATATCTTTTGGGGTATTTATTTTTACTCAAAAGCAATTGCCAATAATTTATAAAATCGTCTGCAGTATTTCTCTCCAGTTTGTTTTGGAATTTTTGTGTTTTCTAGCTCTGTGAAGCCATGAATGCTAAACGAAAAGAAACTTTGCCTGGAATTCGAAAATTAGTTATTAATTTGCATATTGAACGTGGAAAATCTATTAGAGAGACTACTGAAACAGTTAACTTCAGTCATTCAACAGTTTTCAATATCATTAAACGATATGAAAAGAATCATATGATTCAGGATAAAAGAAGACCTGGCCGACCATCAAAGCTATCCAATGGAATAAAGCGAATTATCGTTCGAAATATTTAAAAAAATCCAAGAATGAGTGCTCCTAAAGTTACTGCTGATTTACAAGCATTATATGGAGTAATTTTTAATTCTGAGACTATTAGAAGAGTAATTCGATCTACTGGATATCACGGTAGAGCAGCCAGGAAAAAATTCTTCGCAAGTAGAAAGAATAGAAAACTCAGACTGGCTTTCGCAAAATCCAACATAAATAAGAATTCTGATTACTGGAATGAAGTTATATTTGCTGATGAGAGTAAATTTAATATATTTGGTTCTGACGGTAGAATCTTGGTGTGGAGAAAACCCAGGGAAGAATTTCGCAAACAGAGCTTAGTGCCAACAGTAAAACATGGTGGAGGAGGTGTTATGGTATGGGGGTGTATGTCGTCCGCTGGAGTTGGTAATCTTGTTTTTATTGACAGTATAATGGATCAGTACAAATATATTGACATTTTAAATCAAAATTTGAAATCTTCAGCACGAAAATTGAACCTCCATAACGATTTTAAATTCTACCAGGACAATGACCCCAAGCACGATGCTTTGAACGTTAGACTCTGGCTGCTGTATAACTGTCCTGAAATAATAAAAACACCTCCACAATCTCCACAATTAAATCCCATAGAGAATATTTGGCAAGAATTGGAATCAAGAATTCGCAAACACACCATTTCTACAAAACAACAATTAAAATCGGTGCTTCAAGAAGAAAGGGGTAAAATCACACTCCAGAAATCACAAAAAAAAAAAAAATTAGTCGAATCCATCCCAAGAATATTGAATATTAAATTATGTTTTAAAAGTAAAAGGAAATCCAACAAAATATTAAAACCTTTTAAAAAGTAAAACTTTTGGATAAATATTTGATGGAAAAGTAAGTGTCCCATCACTTAAGTGAGCCATTTTCTGCTCCGTTCTAAACAATTGTATTTTTTTAAATTAATATTTTAATATTTTGAGAAAATGTATGTTATGTAATAATTGTTTACTAAATTTAAGTATGAAACACACCCACAAAAAACTTTACATGTTTTTTAAATTTATTTTATTGCAGTTTCCTTTTGTAAAGCACAAGTGTCCCATCACTTTTTTGAGACACTGTATATATTTGTATTACTATTTCTAGCAAGTGACATATTTCATATTTTAATATACATACATAAACATTATTCACTGAACCTTAAACGGGAATTATTTATGTTCCTTTATGTAATACAATTAGCAATTTTATTTTTCGGTTTGCAATGAAATAATTGGCAACAACTTAAATTAATAGAATTTATGATCTTTAAGAAAATACTTCTTTATTCGTTTGGTTTAAAAATAAAAGAAAAAATATTATCCTTTTCGAAATACATATTTTTTAAATGTAGTTCATCTATTTTTTATCATTAATCATTATTATTTAATTAGTTAACAACTCAGAGAAAGGCTTTATTGTTTTCACTATGAGTTTTTTGGATCCTGGCATAATTGCAATTGCCATTTTGTAAGGAATTATGGCTAATTAGTACACCAAGATAATAACTAGAAGATCCGTGGTTCGATACCTGGCGAGGTCCTAGTTGATTTTTCATGTTTCTCGCTCTAAGGTCTGTGGCTTCACCAGTAGTAAAATTCATTGCAAGTCTTGTGCCCAAGCGATCCAGTAAAAAAAGCACACAGCTGCATCTTCAATAAAATGTTTCAATTTGTAATGAAATACATTATATTACAAATTCCCCTCCTTTACAATTTAGCTCACTATTTCAAAAAATTTTTTAAATAAATAATTAGTTCTATTGTAATAAAAAAAAAAAAAAAAGGTTTAGGTATTAAATCGTAATCTGAACATGAAGTTGAAGATGCACTTTTTAAAATATTGTTAGTACTTAATGCTTTTGGCGCATTTTTTTAGAATTTATTTATTTAAAATTAACTTCTTTAAGAAAGGAAATAAGTGTTTTGCCTGAAAAGAAGTTAAATTCTGAAATAAAAATCGCTACCTGTCTAGCTGACTATATTTCTTGCGGGAATTTATAGCATAATATGCATATTTAGTACTACTCTGTTAAACGAGTTATTGGCGCAACAAAAAGAGGAAAATTTTTTCACTTCATTAGGAACGAACTGGGCCGGTGTTAGGCAGTTTGCCGCCCGATGCAGTTTCTGCGGGTCCTAAACATCTGCAGAGTGGTGCCTCCGTAAATTCTAAAATTTTTGCCGAATCAGTGTCTCAACTTAATTCTAATAAGTTTGCCAATCCTAAATTTTGCAACTCTGTAAATTCTAAAAATTTTGCCGGCTCCGCAGCTGAACCGCCTCTGGAGCTGACACTAGCAAAAAAATTAACAGATTGTTCCTAAATAATATAATTTTTTACTTGATTAAAGCTACGTACGCGATGTACGAAATGGAATTACACGTACAATATTAAATTACACTTTACAGCGAAATGCGTAGAACGTGCGACTTCCTATAGGAAAATACAGGTTTCGGACTTGAAATACATTTTTAGAAAATTTTTAATAATATTAATTTCAAAAAACTGAAAAAAGAAAATCTGAAAGGTTTCAGATTTTAAATTATGTCCAAAGGGGCGTTTTTTTAACATTTTGTGTGTAACCTTCATTCATTAAATATGTTCTTCGTAATTAAAGCATAAAATTCAGTTCAAAAGGCAAAATAATTTTAAATAGAGCATATCTTTAAAATTTCCGATACACAGTATCACGCACTAGAGATAAAAATATTTTTTTCTGTACAACATTGTCATTGCTCGCTTTGAACTCCTTGAGTTTGTTAATGAAATATTCGTTAAAGTTTTACAAAACATGAACTCGATCATAAAACAAATTCCAAATTTGGGTTTCGAGTTGCCCATATTCGCAGTAGGATTACGTCATTCAAAATTTGATGGCTCTATGTACCGTTGTTTTATCAAAATGCGAGAAATATACATGCATTTATGCAGATTCTTATTATTTAATTTCTTCAAATATAATACAGGGCGATAATACTTGGTGGAAACAGTTTGAAAAGTGATACAGCCTTTTAAAGATCTCAACGCAATGTACCAAAACGAAAACAATAGTCTCTCAAGGACAAAGCCACTTTGGACTGATGATGTGCATAAGTTAATAAAATAAGTAACCACTTTCATGGAGCAGGAAAATAGTATAAAGGAATCTCAGAGAAAAAAGTACGAATTTCATAGACATATTAATTAAAAATGCTCAAATTATATGTGCTTCTTATTAAAAAGTATGTTTTAATAAGAAAAGTTTAGAACATGAGGTACAAAATTTTTAATTTGCATTAGGTTAAATATGAAATTAAGACAAGATAGTCCCCGAAATTTGTTTTTCGCAGAATTTCGGCCTCGATAACACTTTAAATAATTTGAAATAATTAAAATTAAATGGTTAGGCATTCGTAAAACAGAAAATTTTGTCTTCTCCAAAAAATATAACTTCACTGCAGTTTCGTTTCTTCAAACATTTGACTCGCGACTTGCATGCATGGCAGTCGCTAGACTTTATGGTGCCCAGGGGAAACTCCGAATTTCTGCCGCTAGGTTTCTCCCTGATTCAAAACGTTTTGTTACTTCTAAATTCTGCTGCCCGATACGCCAACTCTGATATCGATGCCACCATGCATATAATTGTTCTGGGAAAAAAAAAAAAAAATACGCTTTGTGTATTACCTTTATTTATTAAATATAATATTTTTCGCACTTTAACCATAAAATTCAATTCAACAGCAACATCACAAAATAATTTTAAAAGAGCACATCTTCAGAATTTCCAATAGAGTCTTGCGCGCTGGAGATAATTTTCTCCCTCATATAGTGTTATTATTGCTCGCTTTGAAATTGTTGAGTTTGTTAATTAAAAATTCGTTAAAGTTTTACAAAATATGAAATAGATAATTAAACAAATTCTAAATTTCGGCTTCCAGATGCCCATATTCGAATGGAGGACTACGTTATTCAAAATTTGATGGCTCTAAGTACTTTTGTTTTATCACAATGCGAGAAACATACATACATTCATGAAGATTTTTCATTATTCAATTTCTTTAAATATAGTGCAAGGCTCTAATATTTGGTGGCAAGAATTTGAAAAGTGAAACGCCATTAGAATAGTGAACCTGCGTCAAATGCCAAAACGAAATTTATAGCCTTCTGGGCAAATTGCCCTTTTTGGCTAAAAGCGTGACAGTGAGAAAGAAGAAAAGATGGGAAAAAAGATTCTCGGATGAAAATAATGCTGTACGGAAGTCGTAATAAATAAACACATATAAACTATTAATAATCAACTGATAATTATAGATTAATTCGTAATTATAGTTAAAATGCATATAATTATACATCGAAGGAGGATTTATGGGGCCATATAAGTCGCAAATTGTGAGGGACTTCGCATTCCAAGGAGCCTCCAAACTGTTTAATAATTTGTTTAAATGGTAAACCTACCTTGTGTCCTAATATGAATATCCCCAAAAGTTCTGGTAAGTTACTTCATAAAACTGCCATTGACTATGCATTAAGAAATAAGGTAGTATATCAAAAACGTCGAACTTTGAGAACTATCATGTCTAACCTTATTCGAGATTCTATGAGGTATCACTATTCTAACGGAAAGTTCGATATGAAGAAGGTTAGAAATTTCCTAAAATCGCCAAAGTGCGATTTCTTCTCCGACTAGCGGTCCAGAGTTCGAAAACTTAGCCCAATGAAAAGTTACTCATCTGATACTGTGACGTCAAATTCAGCCAATAGAAAACTTAATAGCATACAGGTGTCAAGTCGTTTTAATGTGAATGGCGGTAAAGTAACTGGGGGATAACTTTTAGATACAACAACTAATCATTAAAATTATAATGACCATATGCCGTTTCCTGCCCCTTCAGAATGTTGATGAATTACGTCAGGTTCAGTTATTTACGTCACATGTTTTATCTTGTAAGACTGAAAGTTGTATCATAATCGGAGGCCAAGCATTGTAAGTCATATTCTTTGTTTTGACAATTTTTGATTCAAGTGGTCTAAAGTATATACTGTGTATTAAATTTGTTTGGTATGTGTAAAAACTTCGCTTCAAAGCTAATGCAATTATAATGTCAAAGGACTGAAACTTACGTTCATTTGGTAATTTATATCTGATATGATATCTATTGTTTTCAAAATTAGTCGAACTCGGATGGCATCATTAATATTAATGAATTACTATAATTTAAATAATTGACCTCACGGACTGGAAGAAACGGCGTTCATCTCCTTTCTGCTTGCTTAAAAGCAAGATTGCTAAAATGATTGGAAACTTGAGTATCTAAATTACATGCGAACAAGTAGTGATAATGTAATGTTGCTTTTTAAAAATAATGTTGCATCTGTAATAATCCACATGTTTGTTTTTCAATATCTGATTTGATTGGGTTATAAGCAGTATAAAATTTATCATTTTAAATGTCTAAGAGTTATCATTCAGTATTGTAAATCTAATCAAATTTCGAAATTCTTTATTGTTATTAAATTGCATTTTAGAATGAACTTTCTTAAAAAGAAATAGAAATTTTGATTATTTAAAGCTGCATAATGCAACTTAAAGTTAAACCTACCTTGTGTCCTAATATGAATATCCCCAAAAGTTCTGGTAAGTTACTTCATAAAACTGCCATTGATTATGCATTAAGAAATAAGGTAGTATATCAAAAACGTCGAACTTTGAGAACTATCACGTCTAACCTTATTCGAGATTCTATGAGGTATCACTATTCTAACGGAAAGTTCGATATGAAGAAGGTTAGAAATTTCCTAATCGTATTTGAAAGCTTAAAATGCATCCTTAACAGTAAATCAAAAAATAAACAATTTGTTTTATAAACTTATAAGAACTAAATGTAGTTTGTATTAAGGCCTTCAGTTTTAAAAGAATTTGTAATATTATTAGTACAATTTATTGAACTGCATACTTGTCCTGCATGTGCTGTTCGAACATAATTGATATTAATTTAAATTATGCAAGAAGTATTTATTAAAAAAGATAAATGTAAAAATGGATCTACCATTGAACTATATAGATTTTGGTTCCTTTAACAGTAATTTTAACTGTGAAGTATTTTTAACTCTTCCAAAGTAAACATAGAAAACGGATTTATTTATTTTTTAGAACTTCTTTAGTTTATTTTTGTACTGATCGTATTTGAACATTTTCATATTATCAGAACATATTAACCTGAAATACTTAATAAAACTTACTGAAATTCACTGAATTATACTTACTGAAATTAATTAATTAATTACTAAATTAATTAATTACTCCTATTAATGAATTCCTTACTGAAATTCATTAATAGGAGACTAACATATGGAGACCCCAAATATGAGACAGACACCTAACCTTCAGCTGACACCTAACAAAAGCTGCAGTCAACTGGTGTTAATGTGCCTCTCTGTGTAACGTATAAGAAAGTCCTGATTGTTCATCCATCCAATATATTGATCATTTGATCTTCTTTTCCATCCTTAAAACAGCAGTTCCTAATCCATTTTTCTGCATACATTTTTCACAATTCATTGGAACCTCCAAGAAAATAAAATAAAGGTAAAATCCTATCGTACATGTCCCATTTTTACTGCTCATCATAAAGTCGCCAAAAGTAGCCAAATCCCATGTGCACCGGATACTAGGATTAAACCAAAATAAATAAAAGCTGAATGAAATTGAAGATTCTAAGAAACAAAAGATAGAATCAAATGTAGAAATTATATTTTGAATTTCTTGTCTATTCTAGCAGCCAACACTTAGCCATTACTTGAAATTACGTATTCGAGAAACTTCTTGCTCACTTTTGATTCTTTAAGCATTCTTGGAATCCACTCAAACATAGTCCCATATAGATGCAGATGGCTTTAAGTTTGGATTCAATTTACAGGGAAAGTTTGTGAATCTTTTATGAATTTACCTTGCATTTGCTTTCTTTATGAGTAACTAGTAAGTGATCATTAAAGAGGTAAAAGTAAAAATAATAAATTATATAAAATTCCAACTTTTTGAAAGCATCTATATACTAATATATGAAGAATATGGCAAGCCATCATATGTATGTCTTTGATGCATGTTCAAGTAAGATAATTGTCTTTAGGCATTTACAAGTGTATGAAAAAAACAATCGGTGGTGTTTCTAAACGTTTTTACATTCTTCTTTCTGTTGTGTCTTAATTTAGGAATGCCATATGTTATAGTTGTGTTATAATAAATTGTAATGTCTTATATAAAAAAATTAAAAAATTCCAAGTAACAAGTGATGAACAAATATATCAAGACAAAAAAATTGTGTTTTAACAAACATGTATACTTTTTACTTCCTTGTACAAAGTAAAGGAAATATTGTAATTGTGACAAATTTCAAATATCGTATTTCAACAGAAGTATCCATTTTGATCGTTCCTGAATCCATTTTCCTTACTTTTTTGCTTGGTGTTTGTACATGCGGGCAGAATAAAATACCCAAATACCTTTTTTTCTCAAACAAATCGTAAAATGGATTCAAAATGGTAATTCCCTCCCCCCCCCGACATCTGTACATACATACGTATCTTACATAACTCAGAAAACGATTATCTGCAGAACATTGAGATTTTGTATTTAAGATTGCTATCACATCTAGTTATGCACCTCCCTTTTTTATTGCACTCAGCTATACCATAAATTGAATTTATGTCCCTTGGAGATGGTATATAAAAATTTTTCTAATTATAAATTATTGGTTTGTATATATGCACACCGAAGAGCCATCTGCCACCGGAAATAACTGTTGTCATGAATGGGTGAACCAGGTCTGCAACGATGTTCAGGTATCGCACAGACATCAGGGATTGTTCTATGGGGATTCGTCGGACCATGCAACTTTTTTCCATTCTAATGTCCAATTACGATCAATGCGTAGTAATCTTTACTCTCCTCTGTAATTAATGCGCCGTCGACTTGTCGTTTCACTGTCCATACACCACTTTTGATATGCACTCGTGACAGCCCACAAAAGGCGCTATTTCTGATATTGATGTTCCCAGTCACCGAGCCAAAACAGTTTGACCTTTATCAAAGTCTGATAAATCAGCTGCTTTTCTCATTATGTCGCTAATTGCACTATGTTTGGAAAGACTTTAAATCACAAAAATATTCATGTTATTGCAATGCCAAATTTTGGAAAAATAACGAAATCTAACTTTTAATGTGAGCTCCCAGTTCCTACAGTTATATTTGGAAAAGACTTATACTCATTACGAAAGAATAAAATTATAAGAAATTTGACTCCTGAGCAGCAAAAAATGACCAGGATATTTAATTTCAATATTCGTGATTTTTTATGTCATTTTCAACTTACCTTCAGAGCTTGGTGAATTAGAATAATTCAAGGAAATGAATTTTAATGAAGTGCAGCAAAAAATGTGGTGTATAATTAAATAGGCTGTATGAGGAAGTCACTTGGTGTCCACATCAGATTTTTTCCTACTAATATAATAAGCAGTGCTTGTGTGTTTTGTCATATTCAAATAACCCAACTATGTAATATAATTTTTAAATATCATTTACTTGCAAGGTCATGGTATGAGCATAAGGAGCTCCACCAGAAAAGCAGATTCTAAAAATGGTTCCGAGAGTCAAAAGGTTTCGGAACCACTGCAATAAATGATCACTTTAATATTGTATTTCATTAGATATTTTGGTTACCAGATGTGTTTTGTTTATTTGCAGCTGTATGTTTTCAAACTGTTAGTAAGATTCAAGGTACAATTTTGGTACAGCAAATGTGTACAGCTAGTATATGTGGCTTTTCTGCTCTTACAATATTTGGTACTTTTGTTTATTACTTTACAGAGTAGTGCACAGTAGATGTTGAAAAATCACTTTAAATTAACTATACTATATACATTTATAACAAAATATTTAAATAAAAACTAACAATAATCCCACCCCACCTCCAAAAAGAGAGAGTAAACTAGGAATTGTATCTTTCATATAAGGTGGAAGTAATTGAGGATTGGGTCTGAATTCAAGATTATAGCCATTCCCATGCTTCTGTTTGGTGTGGCAAATTGCTGGAATTTTTGTAATGCATTTTGCTAAAATTAACTTTAGGGAGGGATTAAATTTTTAACCACTGTGACAGTAATTAAATTGCATTTGTAATTAACTTATTTTAATTTTTTCATTGCTGATTAAAATATCGAATAAGGTTCATGCTGTCTCCCATAACGTCATATAGGGATTATCAAGATAGAATATTTGCAGTTTGGTAATTGAGACAGATAATTTAAACATTTATATCATTTTAACTTATGCATGAAATTAAATAATGTTAATTAGAAAATATTGTTATCATTCATTCATTTTGCCCCCTGATTTTTCTCAAACTGAACTATAAATTTTCCTTTCATTTTCTCTCTAAAATTACTTTGCATTTTACATGTTTAACATTTTAAAATGATTCTTTTAAAATTATTATCTGTGCAAAAGGTAATTGATATTAATGTATAGGGTATTTATGATATAAATGCTATGTAATGCTCTTAGGTTTGAATGTTAAATTCAATGAGTAAGCTGCATATGATTACTAATTTGCAGGAATTTCAAAATATAATAATGATAATAACATGCAAATAATTCCTTCCGTATGTTGGAACTACAGTAAAAACTCGATTATCTGGAAAGCTGGGGAAATACCTCTGGATACATGAAAATTTTGGATAATAGAGCGTATAAAATATGCAAACCATGGTAAAAGAGACAAATGAGTTGAAGAAAAAATTTCTGATCTAAAATTATAAAAAGAGTCATTTTCTTTGTTATCAACTGGAATATCAAACGCCTACCTTTAAATTATACGAGATTCGAAAGGAAAAATGGCATCCCAGACATAAAATGCCAAAGAAACATATATTCCATTATGAAATTCCATCAACCAAACTTCCATCAGTCATTCCATCGGAAGTTTGAAA